CGCGATACGTTGTTTTTGACCGCCCGACAATAAAGCTCCACGTTCACCAACCATAGTTTCATATTTATCAGGAAAATTCATAATAAAGTCGTGAGCATTAGCCATCTTACAGGCATTTTCAATCATTTCACGTTTTTCATTGTCAGATAGATTTTCATAAATAGAACTGACCAATCCATAAGATACATTTTCAGCTATAGTAGCTTTAAAAAGTACAGGCTCTTGACTTACAAAACTTATTTGTCTTCTAAGCCAAGTTAAATTAAGAAATTTAATATCACGTCCGTCAAGAAATACACCACCAGATATAGGATCATAGAAGCGAAGTATGAGAGACATAATCGTACTTTTACCAGAACCTGAGGAACCAACAAGAGCAACAGTAGAGCCGGGTTCAACATCAAATGATACATCATTCAAAGTCTTAACATCAGGGCGAGCCGGATAAACGAAATTTATATTTTTAAGTTGAATATAACCCACAACATTTTCAGGCTTATCTCCGGTATCAGAAGCAATATCAATCGAAGGAACACGATCAATAGTTCCAAATATTTTTGAACCAGCACCAGCAGCAAGGTTAAGAGCTTGAATGTCGACAAAAAAATAGGTAAGGCAGAAAGTGCCATATAAAAACGTTAAGAATAAATTGATGGCCTTAAAAAAAATAAAATAAAAAAAGGATAATCAAACGGTGACTTCAAATAAATTGATATCAGAAAAAAAAGAAACATGTACTTGTCCGGGAGATAGTTCATTATTAATAATCAATGTGGAAGCATACCAGAATGCTAAACCATGAGTTGCAGCGATGCAAAAGTACATTATGCCAATAGCAAAACCATTAAACAAAGATTTTTTAATCCCTTCTTTTCTTGCATCAGCTAAGTAAGAATCGTAAAGGTTAGATAGTTCCTTTTGAGTACCAAAAGCTACAGCAGTTCTGATGGTTGAAATAGTTTCTTCAGCGATTATTCCTGCCTGAGAATAAAAATCCAAACTTCTTTTCGTAAAAATCACGCCAAATTTATTCATTAAACAACTATTGATAATAAGAAAAAGGGACGAGGTAGCCAATCACGAGAGTCACTTTCCAACTTATAAAAAGCGCAATAATGAGTGATGAAACAAATTGTACAATATTCTAATATGTAAACCATGATAGTAAAAGAATAATAAATAATAATTAAAAATAATATATATATGTGTGTGTGCTCACAACAACGCCAGGGCGTAGGATCGATTTTCCTGATAAATATGAAACTATGGTTGGTGAACGTGGAGCTTTATTGTCGGGCGGTCAAAAACAACGTATCGCG